TCTCTCTCTCTCTCTCTCTCTCTCTCTCTCTCTCTTTCTCTCTCTCTCCCCTTCTCTTTCACTTCCCTACTAAGCAGAACTACACCTAATCAAATTTGTATCCGATGCCATATGGTTTCTGAATATCCACTAAACATTTTATTTTCATTGTAGAACAAAACTAAATTAAATTAAAAACATGACATTCATGTGCTACCTGCTTTCCATTCAGATGTGATACTAGAGAAAGTAGTTTAAGTGATATCTTCAGGGAATGTAGTATGTGGTGAACCCTGAGCTTTTGTCTTGGAAGTCTCTTCCATCTCACTGCTGCCTATGCAACCACAGAAACACTGACAATTTTCTGTACTTCACATTTCTTTTCAGGAAATAGCTGAAAATATTGCTTGTCTCAAAGACGTGTAGTGATTAATTGGTATAACAGAGGAAGCACAACCAATGCTTCTGCCACCATATGTCATGCCTCCAAACTTTGTTGATTTTATTAATTCTTAAAAACTTAGCATAGAGAACTGTTGAATGAAAAGTACAAAAGCTCAGTGATTTTTTAATTAGCATAGAAAGTAATGGATCATTGTGGCATTTTCATACATACTTGGTTCTTGTTGCTCTTTCTCCCCTGGGCCCCTCCTCACCATCCTTCCACTCAACAGCTCCCATTTTGCTTTCATAGCACATCTGCTATCATCTCCCCTGCCCTTAGGTTCTCTTCTTCCCAGTCTTTGTGCGGTGGATAGTGGTTAACTCAGACATTCACAGCTGGTCAAAGGGCAAAGAACAAGTGTCTGTGGAGTGCTCAGTCATAGACTGGACATTCAAATCATACTTCCTGCCCCTAGGCTCAATGATAGTTGTGGAAGATGGAGCAGAAGATTATAAGAGCAAGAGAATGTAGAGGACTGGGGTCAAATAGTGTTTTCTGGACATGCCAGGGCTGTAGCATGCATGAACTCACAGCAACTGTGGTTGCCTGCACAAGACCTGCACTAGATCAAGCTAGACAGCGCTGTCGACAGACTGAGGAGGGGCACGTGATACTCCACCCCTAACTGAGGTGCTATTGAGAGTTGACTGCCACTAGCAGAGACTCAGCTTTCTTTAGGGCGTGGTCCCAAGTAGGTGAACCATGTTCCAGTGGATGGCCCCACACCCATGCATATATGTAGAGCACTAATTTGACTCAGTGTATTATGTAAAAGAAAAGGACATGAAATTGGGGTTGGTGGTGGTGAAGGCTCTGGGAGAAACTGGAAGGAGGGAGTAGGGGGATATGATGGAAATACATTGTATGCACATATGAAATTCTGAAAGAATAAATAACACTATCTGAAACTCCAGTTCTAGGGAATTTGATGGCCTCTTCTGTCCTCTGCATGCATTGCATGAGATGGGTGTAATTATACATATGCAGGCAATACACACAAACACATAAAATAAAAATAATGAATAAAATATTTAAAAAGAATAAGTATATATAAAAAATTTCTTCTCTTATGGTCCCCTTTCCAGTTTCATGACCTACACCCAAACCCATCCATACACACAGACACACCTACATAAAAATTAAAACGTAGGATCCACATATGAAAGAAAACATAGTATTTGTCTGTCTGGGTCGGGTTTCTTTTATGTAATTTTCATTTTCACCTATTTTATCCTGCACAAGTCATGATTTCACTTATCTTTATTGGTGAATAAAATTCCACTGGGTATCTTATCACACTTTCCCTATTCATTCATTCATTCATTGTGGGTGGAAAAAGTAAAGATTCCTCCCCTTATCCTCCCAACATTTGTTGTTATTTGTCTTCTTGAGAGTAGTCATGCTGATTGTGGTGAGATACCACCTAAAAGTATTTTTGACTTACATTTACCAGTTAACATGGATGTTGAGCATCTTTAAAAATATTTATGATCACCAGGTGTGGTCGCGCACACCTTTAATCCCAGCGTGAAGAAGGCAGAAGCAGGCAGATCTCTGAGACCCAGGCCAGCCTGGCCTATATAGCAAGTTTCAGAACAGTTGGCACTACAAGTAAACCCTATCTCTAAAAGATCAAAAAGGGTTTTAAAATATGACGTTTTATGTTCTTCTGTTGAGAATTGTCTGTTCAGTTCATTAGCCCATCTACTGATTGAAATATTTGTGTTTTTTTTTTTTTTTTTTTTTTTTTGATAGGTAAAGAGAAGGAGCAAATGGATGATGAGGCACCAAGGCACAGATAAAACTCTCAGCAGGGTAGAGCTTTGTTTTGCATGGGACACCTTCCCTTCCAGGAAGGGAAAATGTCTGCCTGGGTCTTGAGCTGGGGTCTTTTTAAAAGCAAGGCTTCTGCTTCCTGCAAAAGACTGGAAGATGTATTTTTTTTAAAGTTGGGTTGGGAGGAAGGGGAGAGCAGGACTGTTAAAACCTGTCCTCTTCAGAGATCAAAGGGGAAGCCTGCTGTGTTGGCCAAACAGTGGAGAAAAGTCTGCTTCTCTTGACTTCAAAGACCAAGGTGCTTATCAGCTAGGTTCCCTTTTCTCAGGAGCGTGAGAAATCCTTGGGATCCTGTAGGTGAGAGGGCAGGGCTATCTGAACCTTAACATTTATTTTGGCAATCTTTTATATATTCTTGATATTAACCACCCTGTCTGAAGGACAGTTGGCAAGAATTTCCCCTCATTCTATAACTTTTTCTTGACTCAAGTCATTGTTTCCTTTTCTGTGTAGAAGCTTTTTAATTTCACGTAATCCCATTTGTTGATTCTTGATTTTCTTTCCTATGCTGTAAGATTCAATTTCAGAAAGACCATGCCTGTTCCTGTTTCTTGAAGTATTTTTACCAAGCAGTTTTAGTAATTTAGGCTTCATATTAAGGTCTTCATTCAATTTTTGATTGGGGTTTGGTGAAGGATGAAAGATGTGGATCTAAGCTCATTTGTTTAAAAGGTTGGACTTTTTCCCATTGTATGCTTTTGGCACCTTTGTCCAAAAGTAGAGGGCTCTAGCTGTGTTCATTTCTGACTGCTCTACTTTTAACATTGGTCTAAATGCATGTTTCTGCATTAGTTCCATGCTATCTCTGTCACTGTGGCTTAATGTGACTATACTATATGGTGTTGGTTGAGTCTTTTCAAGTATCTGAACAGGAAAAGTATAGACTCTGACCTGGGAAAACAAATTAGAAACAGAGAAAACACATTTTGGAGGGAGGAAGAGAGAGAGAGAGAGGAGAGAGAATGTCAAAGACTTCCATAATATAAGCTCCCCTATAGGTCCAACCAGACACATGGACAATGCTAGGCTCTGACTTGCACTGCGTAGGTCCCTAGAGAAACACTCACTATTAGATTAAGAAGTCACAGAAGCATGATGATCTGATTAGGCCAATTGCAAAACACTAGTAAAGAAATGATCTTAGCACTTGCCAAGAGAGCTTGAATTCTAAATTTTTATTTTAAGACTTCAAAGTATATTTGTGTTGGGGACCTTTATTATGTAAAGTAGAAGTTTCTCCATGTCCGGATAGCTCACAAGCTCGGAGCCATATGCAGAGACTCCTTTCACAACAGGGTGTCTTCCCGGCATTTTTCCTGACTCCTTTGTGAAGTAGCAGCCACAGGAATGTAGCCTCTGGCTCTGTAACTATTAGGCTTTCCTGTGTGATTTTCAAGCAGTTTGGCAGCCTGGTGGGAGCCCATTTCCACACGCAAATGAGGCATCCGCCAAAGTACCTATCAGCTGAAGCTTTTACCACTACCCCCACGGTATAAAGCTCCCTGATTCCCCTCAATAATTGAAGGAGCTGGATCACTCTGGGACACTGAGGCTTGGAGCCACACAGAGCCATTGAATAAAGAGCTGTAACACTGAGTCTGACTGAGCTGAATCTTGTCTCACTGCCTATGATCCAGCCTTCCCGGGAAGAGCTGTCTTTCCGTCACCGACTCACGGATCCCAGCTTTAACCGCCCTCACACTCTCCCACGTGATCCAGTGGCCGGTGGATTTTGCATCTTGAGGAAAGGGCACGGGTGAAATTAGGGCGGGACTCGGCTGGGCAAAGCCTCAGCAGCAGAGAGCCACGGAAGACGCAGCGAAGCAGCGCAAGAGCAGATACCCGCGCACCCCACTCCTGGCGCCCAGCGCGCCCCATATATTTGTTCAACAAACACTTGAGTATTGAATGTCTACCACACAGTAGGCCCTATTAGGAATGTAGGTATTAGACTGACTGAGTACCCATGGCCTCATGGAGCTGGCATTTGTTTTCCTGACTTATTCTTCAAAAGGCAATTTTTACACATTCAAAACCAAAAGTTACATAGTCCCTGAACTTCTGTTTCTTTCCTTTTGAATGATCATTTCACAATAAATTTAACCCCCACTGATTCATAAACTTGAGAAATATAATAT